CCCGCCAATGCACAGTGGGACTTATCGCTGAAAAAGGGATCAAGTCACTTGTAACACTTACATATTAAAAATAGATTTTTGGGTGGCTGATCATGATGAGTCATCACAATAAGAAAATTTCAAATTTTTAAAGAAATTTTAAAAATTAAAAAAATATGTATATAATTATACATTTTTAAGTATATATATATATATATGTATATATATATTTTTTCTTTAATATATATTAATTATAGAAATATTAAGAATTTGTATGAGCAAGTCACAGTTATATATGCATCTGTCATACAAGCATTTTGAATTTTCTAATTCTGATGTCAGAATCGTTATGATCAGCAATCAAAGAAACCCCAGGAATAAACATGTGTTTTAGACACTATTTTAAAAATAAAATTAGCCATTATAAAATTTGCTATTTTAAATTAATAATTTTTTTGTCAAAATTGAAAGCAGCAATGATTTATTATCGTAGCTCATTGCTTTTTTCCTTTCATTCATATATCAGATTGACAAATCACGTGTAAAATTAAATTTTTTTCACAAATCTATTTTTCAAACTAAAATGTTACAATATTTTTTTTGAAAATATACGTTCTTTCATCGCATGATCGTGTTTTATTAACATATTATTGCTAGATTAGACGTTACAAAAATTATTTTTTATTAAATTTGTACAAGCGACACGTATAAGAAGTATTCAATTGATTACATCTTAATACTGAAATCGCAATCTTATTCCCATTACATAACATCTTCTAATACAATATAATATGTATATCAATTTCAAGAAATTCTGTTTTCAATTCGCGTGTGTATTACCTTAAATTCAACACAAACGTAAATTATTAAAGAAATAATTAAAAAAGTCAATTTATAAATCGGTTTTGTTTTCCGAATGCATTGTGAACTTTATACGTCGGTAATCCTGTGACTGATAGCGTTCAGTTGTATCTCCTAGAAAAATTTAGATTCGTCATTATTATTAACAATTGTCATAATTGTACTTGATCGGCTATTCTGTTGTCAGTCACGGTTAGTTTTTTACTACGCTATCACTAATGTGACCCTAAAAAAATTATTTTTTATTTATCAAATGTATTGTGGTACATTACAACAGTCTATTATAATACGTTATGAATATATAACAAAAATAGAAAAATAATGTGAATGTGCTAATGAATTAAATTATATCATGAATGACCTTTTGCATGTGTGCAAGAAGTTGTTTTTTTTCCGTGAAGCTTCTGTTACATATCGAACATTTATGCGGCTTTATATCGCTATGTGTATATTTGTGCCTGATTAGGTTTTTTCTAAAAGTAAAACGTTTGTTGCAAATCTAAAATACAGCACCTTTATAATTACGAAAATGTAAAAATAATCATAATCAGATGAGATATAATTAGAAAAAATAGTAACAATAATTTTGCAGCACATACCTCGCAAACATGTGGTTTCTCGCCTGTATGTATTTCTGTATGCTGTTTAAGGTAATTTTTACGTTTAAATGTAGCTGCACATGTGTCACATTTATACGATCTTTCATTCATGTCAGAATGCATCGTTTCTAAATGATTAAATTTATCCTGTTCATTATCAAATCCATTGTTACAAACTTCACAATTGAAATGCAAATTTGTCCAAATGTGTCTGCTTAGATTCGATGGGTGACTGCAAAGTGTTTATCATTTGTTAACCATTAATTTAAGTAATATGATTATTTAATATTTTTATAACTATTTTACTCACGTAAATCCTTTTTCACAAACTTCGCATTTATAAGGTTTTTCACCTGTATGAATTAACAAATGACGATTTAATTTCGATTTGTACTGGAACGTTTTATCACATGTTTCGCATTTGTAGCGTTTATCATCAGAATGTACCTCACTATTAGATCGTTTCAAAGCTTGTGCGGAGGAAATCTGCTCATCTTTAATATAATTGAAAATAATTGTTAAAAAACAAATGTGGAAATGGTAACATAAGATGGAACTGTTGAAATAATACAAACATGTCCAAAACTCTAAAAATATTAAACATGGACTACATAAATCTCATCGCAATGTTTAAATTCATATTTTTTTGTATCTTTATCCATTATTTCTAACTATTGATTCAAGTATTACGGAACTTGAGATTGATAGAATATTCACAATAAGATTGGAAACAAAATTATTTATGTTACATGCATTACTTTAAATACGAAGTATAGCGCCAGTACGGTCTGAATGTTCAGATGTTAAAGTATATATTTTCTGAAATTAATTTATTTAAATGAATATTTATAATAGTTCAACATCTTAACATTCACAGAACCGTAATGACGCATCATATTTAAAGTAATGTGACAGAGTATTTCCCTATTTTTCATAGAACTCTCAAAAACTTTAGGTGTATTTTTCAATTGATTTTCTTGTAACGTTCCCTAAATTCTTTTCTCACGGTTACATTTTTTTGTTTATGTATATTTTCAAGTTTACTTATTTAAAATCGTAACAGAGCATAATTTTTTACTAACATAATTTAATTTAATTTAATTTAACTTAATTTAATATATTGCAAAGACTATATGTTAACAGTGTAACAGACATGATACAAAAAATATGATACCAAACATTTTACTACACTTTTCGTATTTGTAGGTGAATACGTTTGTATTATTTCGACTTTGGATCATTACAACACCTTGCATTGTTGAAGATCCTTTAACAGATACTTTCCCAATGGAGGACGAATTCAATTCGATGATACTTTCTTTTTGAGACATAAAGTCGAGACCAGAAGCCAAATACGGCATTTGTTTGGAATCGACTGTAACAAGCTCGTCGGCGTCAGCCACTAAAGCAGGTGGTTGGCTAGATTTTTCTTCATCTGCAGATTGCAATTCTAATGACGTTTCCAGATCAGTGCATGAAATTGAGGTTTTGTTGGATTTACACGACTGTGTATTAGCGCGATTGAATGCATGTTGAATCACGTTGCTATGGCCCAATAGTCTTTGGTCTTCAGATTCCCCAATCCATTCTTCATCACTACCTGTGTCATTTGTCGTTTCCTTTGCGACACTGCTTCCTTCTTTTTCTGAATCACTCTCCGAATCATCGATCGTCTCTTTACTCAACAGTTCAATCTTTTTCTTTTTTATTGAGCCATACAATTGCTTGAGTTGATCCATCGCTTTTAATTTACTAGACCGCATCACGCGTCTTGCTTGAGCCGCAGTACTTGGTCCAGGCTGACTGAAATCATCTATATAACATTCAGTTTTTGTCACTGATTTTTGCAACGGCAAACTTGCACGTGCGACGACTTTTGTCTTAGCTTTCTGTTGCGCTTCTTTAGATTTCGTTTGCTTGGCGTGACTCCGCTCAAATTCGTCGAATAAACTGTTTTTTATTGCTACAGCCTTTGCAGATTCGCATGAAGCCTTTTCATGTGGATAGCTTTTCCATTGGATTAAGTATTCCATGCATTGCTTTTTAGTATTAAAACGTGTGGCTAATACTTTATCGACAATATATTCTTTGTCACTTAGATTTGCATTTTCTGCGGTAGTTGCTTTGTCAGTCTTGATTTTGGGTTTGATCGATGTTTTTTCTTGTTTGTCTACTACAATTTCCATAAATTCATTTTTCTGTGTTTTTGTTTCCAGTAATTTCGCAGAATCCTTTTTAGCTTTGCCTGTTTCTTCCCGTTGTTTATTTTTGACAACTGTAGGAACTGTTATCGGATTGGCACTTTCGACATTGATATTTGATTGCATCACAGTATCCTGCATCTTTGCGTTACTGATTTTTGTAAAGGTTTGTGCAGTTTTACCTGCTACGATCCAAGGTTCTTTCTCTTTTGTATCCATTTTACACCATTTCTGGTGCAATGTCCAATCGTCAGATGCCTCCTTGTCTGAACTGTCTTGGACTTGTGTATTCTTCCATAATAGAAATGGACATACTTGTGCATTTTGTCTGTAATCGTTGGTGTCACAAATATGTGACGTTTTGGAGCAGAATCCTTCTTTTGTGCGATGTTCTTGAAACTTTTCGATAAAATGAAAAACAGAATGACACTGTCCACATACCAGTACATCTAATCGTTCCATTGCTTCTTGAGCTTTAATATCGGTAGATTGATTACTGATGGCTGAAGAGCCATCGTCCCTCTCCATTCTGTATACTATTTTCGTCACGCGATTCTTTTCATATGATGAAACTGACAAACGGCTCGATTTTTCTGAGTCTTGAAAGTAGTTTATCTACAGTATGTACCGTACTATTATGTCGCATGAAAGTTTATGAGGAGGGAAAATGCTTTTCTATAATATTTATGAAGATGATTGTTAATAATCAAATATGGAAGTGATAACATTAAACGTTACTGTCGAAGTGATACAAAGATAATCTAAACTAAAAATATGAATCACACACACATGAACTACATGAACTTTTTAGGTATGTTTCTGGATTGACTTTATTGTAACTTTTATTAAATTCTTTTCGTATTTCTTACTAAATTTTCTCTGTTACGTATATTTTCAAGTTCATCCATCTAAAATATTAAGAAATTATTATTTTTTAGATAAAATAAGTTGGATTTTTTAAATTTAGTCATCATTATTTAGTTTATTTTACTGCTAAATTGGTGTATTTTATTGTTAGTGATACTGGATATTTAATTTTAAATGTTTTTGTTTGCATATGAACGTGTTTCTTAATTCTTTTTTTAATTACGTAAATAAAATATTAAGTAAAATAACTGTGAATAGAATGATAATCATTTTTGTATTACCATTTGTTAGATAGAGCGAAGTATAAATTCATATTATGTTTTGTTTTTACCGTTTGTAATACTTTATATGTTTAACGTTGATAATGATCCGATCTGTTTGTTTATTGCTTGCACTATGTATTAAAACAATAAAAGGTGTAATTGTTTCTTCTACTTTTGTATAAACTTTTATATTAACGACATTTAATTTTTTAAAATAATTTTTGGTTTGTACCCTCTTTCATGGTTTTTAATATTTTATGAGTCTTATTACAAATTGACATATTAAGTAAAATGTTAGATTGAAAACGTGGGACATTAAAATAATTAAACGTATATCAAACTGACAGACAGTACGAATAGGAACATGTAAATAAGAAATTGTCGTCAAGGTTGAAAAGTATATTTTGTATATATTACTATGTATGTATATATTACTATGTACGAAATAAGAAATGTTAAGACTAAACTTGTATAATTGCTTATCATATAAAATGTGATAAAAAGAAATTAGAGAGAATTTAGATGAGCAATGAACATTAGCAAAAGTTTATTTTATGTTTGACGACGAGAATGGATTTTAATCGATAAAGTTATAATAAAATAGCTGTTACGAAGATTAAAAAGGGAAAAATGGAATGATGTGTCAAAGGCAGACAAAATCATAAAAAAAGAAAATCATAAAATTAGAATGATGTGTGCCGATTAAAAATAACGTTTCGATAATCTTGTAACTTACATGCAATGTTTACAGCTTAGACGTAGCAATAATCAAAATCATTACCGTTGAATTTTAAATTGTTTAGTGAGAATTAATCATGTCAATGTCTTAAAAACAACTGAGGTAAGACAAACGTTTGTGTATATTTATGTTATATATATATATATATATATATAT